TTATTTTTATTTTTTTTAAATAAGATATTCAATTTCTTTTGAAATATTTTGCATCTGAGGATTTTATTTCATTTTGTGATCTATTTGTGTTTAAAGTTATTTTTGTGATCTATTTGTGTTTAAAGTTATTTTTGTGATCTTTTTATGTTTAAAGTTATTTTATTGATCTATTTATGTTTAAAGTTATTTTACTGATCTATTTATGTTTAATTTCATTTTACTGAACTTATTGTGTTTAATTTCATTTTTGTGATCTATTTGTGTTTAATTATAACAAAATGTGCTGGAGTGCCCCACCTACTACTTACCACTATTAACACACATAAAGGATTATTTGCTATACCCGTAACCCGTTCGGAATAAAATCATCAGCAGGGGAGTTCCAAAAAGCTATGGAAATTCCTACAGCAGGTCTTGAGGGCATAAGTATATTCCTAGAAGGAATTCTAGTATCTAGACTGGTCCAAAATAAAAATTGAAACATGCAGAGATACAATTCTCACCAAGGTATTAAACGCAGTCAAAACAGGAGAATGGAACAGTGATTCTTCTAACAAATTAGAACTTAAATCTTATAATTCATGAAAAACTCAAATCTCAATGTAACAAGGATGCCTATTATGGGGTTACCGTGTTATTATACTAGCTAAATTTCGAAATAATATACTAAGCGAACTTCATTCATGCCACATGGGTTCTTCTAGTATGAAAAGATTAGCGAGATCATATTTTTGGTGGCCAGGAATGGATAAAGAAATCGAAAGCATTACGCAAAATTGCGACAATTGTCTTAACGTTAGGCAAAATCCACCAAAATCTATTATATCTCCTAGGGAGTGGCCAGAAAAACCGTGGACTAGAGCAGTGGTGGTCAAACGGGGGGGGGGGGGGATGAGGGGGATAGATCCCCCCCATGAATTTTTTTTCAATACCTATTTATAACAATTTATAATAAAGCATTACAATATATTGTTATATTTTTTTTTCTAAAAATAAATTTCGATAGAATATCGGAATATTTTTTTATGACAAGACTATAATAATATTATTATCTAGATTCAAGTTTAGGTACTACTACTAGGATATTATTATTGTTATTAATATTTAGTTGTTTACACAATATATAATATTATGGGAATCCCGTATTATCCCACTCGATGATTAAGAATTTTCAATAACAACACGCTCTACACATTTCCAGAATATTGCCGATACGGGCGATTACATTACGATCGGTAGGTATATTTTTCAATACTACGTAGTCGGTTGAAAACTTGAAACATTGATTGTTTATTATATTTTGTCATAATATTAGTTATCATCTATCATCGTCTTTCGTACACGAGTTTTCTACTGTGTGTGGTGTGTCCGTGTAGTGTACTAAAGTGTCAATTATACAGTCGGTGTTTTTATTATTGACTATTGTTTATTTTACATTTTTACCTTTATTATGTCTAATAAAAGGAAAATTACTAGTTATTTTGATGCAACTTGCTGTACTTCTAAACGCTCGGTGTCTGCAGATGAACAAATAAGTAAGATCACTAATATCGTTACAGAAAATCAAGTTGTGGACTTAGTGGTAATATTTATTTTATTAAAATTAATATAAATGTTTTATTTATGAGGAAAATGGGAATTTCGATTAAAATTATTGTTCTAGACTGTTGATTTAAACGTTCATGACATTGGATCCTACATTAATAGTACCTTGACCGATGCTGATAGATATTTGGTAAGAATTACAACTTTTGTTAGTAATTTATTATTTATTGTTTAGATTACTTCCATGTGTAGTTATAACTTATAGTTCATTATTACCTTCAATTAATACAACTAAAATTGATTCAGATTCTTAAAGATGTGTGGATACCACCAGCTACATTTCCATTTCCATTACTTGATTGTAATGCCAAAAGAGGCTTAAAATTCAAACACCATTGGCTCAATGCTTATAAATGGCTGGCCTATTCTGAAAAATACCAAGGTGCTTTTTGCAAATACTGTGTTGTTTTCTCAACAAATGGTGGTATTGGTGGTCAAAAATTAGGAACCCTTGTATTGGAGGCTTTTACTAACTACAAAAAAGCTATAGAAGTATGTATATTTATAAACAAATTTATTGAAAATTTTATTTATAATTTTTCTATATTTTGATAGGTGTTTAAGAAACATGCAAATTTGGAATACCATAAAACTGCATTACTGAAATCTGATAACTTTTTAAATGTTTATTTAAATAAGAGTTCTTCGATTATAAACCGTATTGATAGTGAAAGGTACATACAAATAATAAGTATACCTATTTAACCTTTAATTAAATATAAATAGAATATAGATGTAAGAAATATATTTGAACTAATTTTTTAATTTAATTTTTAGAATGAAACAAATTGAAGAAAATCGAAAGCGTTTAATTCCAATCATTGAATGTGTGATGTTATGCGGCCAACAGGAAATAGCTTTAAGAGGTCATAGAGATTATGGTCCTATTTGTTTCAGTAGTATGTATATTATATAATACTATATAGGTAGCTTACAACTTGTTAAGGCTCAAGTAGAAAAAATAGTTAATGCCAAAATTTTATTAGACTGTTCAATACTTTAATAGGAGTAAATACTAAAGAATATAGTTTTTATTATATATTTATAATATAATATAGTATTTATTGTTTAGGTGAATCAAATGAAAACTTAGGAAACTTTCGTGCTATCTTGAAATATAAAGCTAAAGATATAGATTACATGAAAACCTATTTAGAAACAGGCTCTAAAAACAAATATATTAGTAATCGAACTCAAAATGAGATAATTGAAACATGTGGAGATATTATTTTTAAAAAAATTGTTCAAATTGTCAATAAATCCGGTTTTTTTTCTGTCTTAGTCGATGAGACAACAGATGTTTCGGTAAAAGAGCAACTCACCTTATGTGTCAGATATTTAAGTGGATCTGGAGAAAATGTGTCTATGAATGAGAGCTTTTTAAAATTTATTGAAGTACAAAGTCTAACAGGAGAAAATCTGGCTACAGTTATTCTTAATGGTAATAAATAACAAGATTATTTTATTTTATAACAACTAGGTAACTCTTTTATTCATTTGACGTTTGAATTGTATGCATGTAAATTATTTTTAATTTTAAGGTTTGAATGCTTGTGGAATTGACTGTAATAATATGGTAGGACAAGGTTATGATGGAGCGAGCAATATGTCAGGACATTTAAAAGGTGTTCAAACTATTATTAGGGAGACATACCCTAAAGCATTGTATGTGCATTGTGTGGCTCATAGCTTAAATTTAGCTGTATCTAAAGCTAGTAATATTCTACCAATTAGAAATTGCTTGGGCGTTGTAGAAAAAATATACTGCTTTTTTAATTCTCCTAAACGCCAAAATGTGCTTTTAAATACAATTGAAGAAAGTGATCTAGACCCAAAAGTAAAAAGCTTAAAGCGGTTATGCGCAACAAGATGGGTTCAGAGGTATGAAGCTGTAAATGATTTTATAGAGCTTTTTAAGTTTGTAGTGGTGTCCTTGGAAACCATTTCTAGTTGGAAAGATACTAGTGCTACAGATGCTACTATTTTAATTAAAGCGCTTGATTCTGAATTTTTGGTGTCACTTCAAGTAGTAAATGTAAATTAATAATCTTTTAAATGTTATATTTTATTTATATAAATCATTTTAAAGAAAATAATTGTTTTTAGATATTATTTTCTTATAGTTTACCATTGTGTAAATTACTACAAAGTAAAGGCATTGACTTAAAGGAAGCTATAGATCTTGCAGGTGATAATGTTACAATACTTAAAAACTTAAGGAGTAATATTAATACAGAGTTTAATCAAATGTTCAAAAAAGCACAGGTAATTATGATTACTTTGATTGAAACTTAAATATTTTAAATTAAATTTGGAAGTGTAAAATTTTAATTATAAAACATTTATGATAATTTATTATTTGATTAGAAAATGGCTGAATTCTTGGATTTCGATATTAAAATTAAACGAATTAACAAGAGACAGATATATAGAGATAATTCTATCATAAGAAATGATGGTTCTACGCCTGATTCTGAGGAGTATTTTCGAGTATCCATATGTGTCCCTTATATTGACTTCTTTATAAGTCAATTGGAAGAAAGGTTTTTGGCTCACCGTAGTATTTTTAAAGGTTAATTTCCTATTTAAATAAATAATAGTTCAATACTTCATACTTGAATAGTTCTATTTTAAAAATTAAATAATCAAATAAAAGTAATATATCATCTAATTTTTAAGTTATTTCAAATTTAATATATTTATTGCAAATTTAGTTTAATTGTACTTAATATTAACTTTTCAAGGTTTTCAATGTTTATTTTCAAATGATTTTGAATTAGAAGGTTTTGAGGAATTAGTAAATTTTTACCTTTCTACTGATATTGAAACTGTGAAAGCGGAATTGAATTTATGGAAAACAAAACTTTCACGCATAGGTAAATCTCCAAGAACAGGACTTGATGCTATAAAGTTCTGTAGACGTGAATTATTTTCTAATGTGTTTGATTTATTACAAATATTTTGTACACTTCCGGTATCAACCGCAACACCAGAGAGAATGTTTTCATGCCTTAAACGGTTGAAAACATATTTAAGAAATAGTATGGTAGAGGTAAATATTCTGTATTGCTGTGGTCAAATATTTGTACATATAATCTATTGGAATAAGTATTAAATTAATAGTTCAAACATAAAACACTATGTTTAGGACTAACTTTTTAGGTTTTGTTAATTTCTTTTGTACATATTTCAATTATCCTTATGAATTTTTGAAATGTCAATTTAATGCTTTATGCTTATATGTAAATTGTATAATTTTATTATTCTAGAGTCGTCTCAATGGCTTGGCCACTATGGCTGTTCATCGTGGGGTTATAAACATTACATCCAACGAAGTACTGGATGAATTAGCAAAAAAAAACAAAAAAATAGATTTACTAATATAATAAAAATATTGTTAATGCTATAATAGTATAATATATTTATAAAGTCTGTATACCTAACTAAGTTATAAATAAAGTTTGTATTTCCCATAATTGTATTAATTGATATTAGAATTAGACATAACCATAAATTATATTTTTAATGATAAAATTATGGATGTTAAAAAATNTGGACTAGAGTGCATTGCGATTTTCTCGGACCACTTCAAAATAAATATTTTTTTGTCATAGTTGACGCAACCACAAAATGGTTAGAAGTATTTCAAGTAAATTCCATGACAGTACAAATTGTCATTCAAAAATTGTCAGAAACTATAGCACGATTTGGCATTCCAAAAACAATTACATCAGACGGCGCAAAATGTTTCACAGGTTTTGAATTTCAAGCATATTGCAATAACCTAGGTATTAGGCGTATGAAAGGTGCACCATTTCACCCAGAATCGAACGGCTGTCTGTGCTGAATCGGCAGTCAAAATAGTAAAACATTTCTTTAAAATATGCTCGACTGCACAATTCCAATTAAATAAATTTCTCTTGATGTATCGTAATACACCTCATTCAACAACGCGAGAAACGCCAGCTCAGCTAATGTTAGGTCGATCAACACGTTAACAATTTGACGCGTTAATGGTCCCGCCACACCATGCGTTTTAGCGGGTCCGGGTAAAACGCATCCGGTCGACCGGAACAACAACTTGCATTGTTTCTAATCATAGGTGCTATATTAGAGCGTTTTGTCGGGACCGGTCGATTCCTGCCGCTGACCGACCGCAACATGTAGCGGTCGGGCGGGAAACGAATCGGCAGGACATGTCATCAAAACACATTATTTTAAATCGTGTATGCCACACTGTGCGTTTTTTGAATATTTTACCAAGACATATTTTTTAAGTAGGTATTTAAATAAATAATTATATTTTGAAAAATGGTTTTTGATACGGATAAATTTATATCGTGTATCCAAAATAACCCTTCCATATGGGAAATTGGATCCAAAGATTATATGGATAAGCATATAAAACAAAAAAGTTGGAACACGATTGGTGAGTACATGTTTGAAGATTGGAGTGAACTTGAAGAACATGCAAAAGAAAGTAAAGGTAAGTATTCTAAGTTATATTTTATATTTATTAATAAACTGTATACAATTATTATATTATTATACCATGTAAATATAAATTACATTATTGAATACATTTAAAATATTTATTAAATAAATAATATTATTAAATATTTATTAAAATATTTTTATTCTAAAACTTATATTTTTATTTAAAAATCAAATCATGTCATATTGAAAATCTACTGCACCTGGGCCCATAAAGTAGTTGGCAAAGTAATCCCTCACTTCAACTCCATGCGAACGAGTTCCTGTTCCACGAGCTTCGATATCTACTAAGTTGTGCGTTTCAGAATCTTCATAATTTATACCATCTCTTTTACGAACGAAGTTGTGCAGTATGCAACATACTTTTATAATGTCATCCGTAAAATCTGGTTCCACCTGAATAGCCGTATGTAAAACACGCCATTTATTTGCGAGTACTCCAAATGCACATTCGACTGTGCGTCTTGCTCTAGATAATCGGTAGTTGAACACTCTTCGGGAATCAGTAAGGTTACGTCCAGGGTACGGTCTAAGTAAATTGGTATGTAAAGCAAACGCTTCATCCCCAATAAACACATACGGTTGTGGGTTGGTACTTGTTTTTGGTAAAGTAACTGGTTCAGGTATGTTCAATTTTCCTTCATATAATTGTTTACCAAAAGCACACTCCTTGAACACATTGGAGTCCCCTTCACGACCATATGAATCAACATCGATTACAACAAAATTCAAATTTGCATCAACTATTGCCATCAAAACGATAGAGAAATACTTCTTATAATTAAAGTACAACGAACCGGAGTTGTTAGGATTTCTACACCTTATATGTTTGCCGTCTATTGCTCCTAGACAATTGGGAAAATTGGTTTTAGAATAAAATATATTTGATATTTCCACCCAATCTTCTTTGGTCGGTTTAGGCATCTCTTTCGAATTTAAAGTTGACCATATCACTTTACAAGTGTCTTTTACGATCACTCCAATCGTACTTCTTCCCACACAAAAATCAAATTTTAATGCAGCGAAGCACGTACCAGTTGATAAATATCTAATAAATAAAATATATATTATTAATTAATACATTATTAAAAATACATTTTGATGGGTCGCTTTTTTTAGTTTTTACATTCTGAGCGTAACAATGTCACAATGCATTGATTTTACTATGTGTATGTTTTTGTTTATTACATTTTTAGATTCTGAGCGGAAAAACAATTTTCAAAAAATGTCCACTTAAATTGAACTATTTATAGGCATATGCAATTTTCGATTATTATTAGTTTTTATTAAATTAATATCGATAAATTTAATAGAAGGCTTCTAACATATTGTTATAATAGCAGTTGAAAAATAAAAGAAATTCAGTCACAATTTTTTTTTTATAAGCATTCATAGTTTGAATTTTGACAAAATACGTAAAAATCACGAAAATTCACAAATTATTTTAAGCTAGAAATTCATAAAAAAATTTCATTTTCTATATTTGATAAAATTTTCAAAATATTTTGATTAGTTTTGAGCTGTTACTGATATTTTAATTTTTAATTTTTTTTTATTAATAGAAAAAATTAAAATTTTATCGGTTGGGTCAAAAAGCTATAAAATTGAATATATTCATTGTAACAAGGCTTCCAACATATTGATTCAATAGCAGTCGAAAAATAATAAAAATACATATTCATGATTTTTTTAATAAGCATTTAAACTTATTTTTATAAAATTTAATAATTATTTTGTAACCAAAAATTTATAAAATATTCAACATTTTTATCTAAGGATTGAAAATTTTAAACAAGGTTCCACTTAAAATTTATTTTTATACTGATTTGATTAATTATTTATAATATTATAAATTAATATAATCATAGTGACCGATCTGAAAGGCAAATGGAGACATATTAGAGACCACTATTCAAAATTTATGAATCAGGGTAAAAGTGGCGATAGTGCAAAAAGAAAAAAATATGTATACGCAGAATCACTGACGTTCTTGCAGCACATTATTAAAAAAAGAAGGTAATTCTATTAATAAAAATATTTATTACAAACAATAATATTCATGAAAATGTACATCACTATAGTAATGACAACTAGATAAATTATTTTTTATTTGCTCATAGGACGACAGGTTATTTCAATGAAAGTGTACAAGAAGAAGAATAAAATACCGGCGGAGAAGATTCATCCCAAGAGCTGGTTTTAGATAATGAAATGATACCACCTCAATCCAACAGATATTCAACTTCAAAAAGTAAAAAACAAAATAGTTCCAAGGTACAAAAGATGACACCATTTCAAAAAGAGTTACTAAGCAATTTAGCTACTTCCGAAGAAGATGAAACTTCTGATCCTGATAAGGCATTTTTATATTCCTTATTACCTGATTATAAAAGACTAAACTATGATCAAAAAACAGATTTTCGTCTCATGACTCTACAATATTTTAGGAACGTATCATTAGGCTCTAATCAACTACAATCAACTCCACCATGTTTTAACATTTATCAAAACACTAGTCAGAATGTCCCTATTCCAACTCAATATTCAAGTGTATATCCTTCATTCAATCCCGGCATGGAGAACAATCAAAATCAAAATCTTATGCCACAACCCTTGCCAATATATTCATCTAATTTCAATCCAAAT